GCAAGTCCTTATACCCCAGCTCTCTACCCCAGTGAGAAGTCACAACTGGCTCCTTAGCACTCAAACCCATCTAACTCCAGCCCACTGGACTAATTTTTAAATTACCAGTCTCCATGGGCTGCCAGAACATCCTGCTTCCCTTCAGGCCAGTCAGAACCCCTGAGCTGGAGCTGCTTCCTCCATCCACTGGTGAAGGAGAAACCAAATAGCAGAGGTTGGAAACCAAATAGCAGAGGTTGCTCTTGGGTCTCTTTGAGGGGGAGGGCAGCCTTTTTATTAGGTTCAGATGTTACTTTCTTCCCCAGGCCGTGCTGGGAAGTAAAGCAGAGTGTGTTAATGTTGGCTGGAAGAAGCTCTGTGGAAACAGGCTTGAATGAAGCAGGTTTCTCCCGTGCCCATTTCCTGGGGGAATGGGGGAGATGGGCCAGCACAGGAGGAACAGGCATGGGCAAGGAGTCACCCCTTGCTGAGCTTCCCTTATTCTCTAAAATCTGCCAGCAGTGAGCATGGCTTTAGCCAGCTACCCACTTCTGCAGGGCTCTTGGGTCCCTGCTGTCCCCTGGTCAGTGGCTGCTGTCCCCAAGCCAAGGCACCCACAGGGAGAGATGGTCCCGGTGCTGAGCTGATCGGTTCCTCCTGGATCTGTTCTCCCTCTCCTGTTGGGAGATGTGGAGGTGGAGGACTCTGTGAAGGGCAAGGCTGTTCTCCAGATGTTATTTTTCACCATTAGGCAGTGTTTAAACACACTGTGATTTCCCTCCCCACTTCTTTTGGAGTGCACATAGGGGAGAGACCCTTGGAGGAGTGAAGTGAGTGGCAGGGGGAGGGCAAAGGAAACCTTCCCAGAAAGTGCTGAGCTGGGCTCCAGAGGGTCCCTGCAGCCAGTGCCAAGCCTGGAGGCCGTCGGAACACGTGGCTCATTAGCAGAGCCTCAGCCAGGGCTGGGCTCACACGCGGGGCTGGCGCTGCCAGAACAAGTCCCGGGGGACTCGGAAAGGTTCCCATCTGCAGAGTTCAGGGCAGACCTGGAGGCAGAGCACAGCTCTGCTTAGCAAAGCACCCTGAGCCTCAAAGGCTGCTCCCCCATTCCCTGCTCCACTCCACCTTCAGTCCACCGGGAAAACAGGCTCAGACTAGAGCTGGAAGGATGCTCAACTCCTCTCCCAGATACTGAGGGACCTGCGTGGCTCTGGGTGCCCTCTCCTCTGGGTCAATGTGTATCTCAGGGTAAAGCTGGTGCTCAACCAGCCAAGGATGCTCCAAGAGATGCTGCCATCCCAAAAAGACTCATTAGCAGCTGCACTTGAAGTTAAAACCCCAGCTCTGCCCCTCCAAGGCCATCCTGCTTGGCCACAACAGGCCCATAATGTGATGTGCATTGTTGCCTCTCCGAGCCCAGCTCGTCAGCAGATAAAATGAATATCCTGGAAGTGCAGGCGCTAAAAAAAATCACTGTTGGAAGCACAGCAAAACCCATCTGCGAGTGGAAGAGGTCAAAGAAGAATACAAAGGCTTTTATTTCCTGGAGGCATTTGTCAGCAAGACAAATGTGGGTTTTTTTAAAAATTTGCTGCCATTTCCTAGCTGCCCGCCCACGCAAGCGCCAAATAGACTTTCACTCGCATAAAGCTGAGTGTTGGCTTGTGTCCTTTGTAATCCAACGCTCAGGAATAGGGTGAGGAGTCGGCTGGATCCCTGTTTGTTATCAGTGAGTGGGGCATATTTAAAGGATATGGGCAGATTTCAACACTACATCTATAGCTAGTTTATTGCTGGTGTGTTCCTCTCTTGCCCTTGTTATTTATGTTGAAAATGATAAATGAGGGATTGATGATTCTGGCTGGTTCATGAATAATCAGGTTATTTCACTGCAAAGCCCCAGGGGAAGGTAATGTTTCTACAGTCCTCCATCAAAGAGAAAGCAGTTTGCACGCGCGTGTGCGTCTGTTGTTCATTCCTCCACTGCTTTGTGTGGGTTTTGGAGTGGTTCTGCAGCCTCCCTCTGCAAGTGTGCCTCTGCCCAGGCACTCCCTTGCTGCATCCCAGCCCAAAATGTTTCCCAGTCTTGGCACCATCAGCAGCAGCCATGCACGGGGTGTTTGGAGCAGTTTGGTCTCCAGAGAAGGAGGTGATGGGCATTTCAGCGTCCTGTGACGGGAGGGTGCAGCCAGGAGCCCTGGGGAGGTGCATGGAGAGCCCCAGCCACAGCAGCCAACTTGGAAGGAGTGCATTTGTATTTTCAAGGAGCTGCAAATAGCTGCTGGTCTCAGGATTTGCTTGTGAGACAGGAAGAACCTTGGGGAGATGATCTGAATGTTTATGTATACAGAAATGTCTAATCACCAGGCTCAGAACAGGCTCAGGAAGGGAATCTGGAGGTGGTTAGCTGGAGAGGAGGATATTTTTATGCTAGAAATGTGCTGTCCGCCTGTTTGTAGGGTAGGAAGGATACGATGAGAATCAAAGGCTTGGCAGGATGAGCATTTTCATCCTTGTAGATGTGAACTCCCCATCTGTTGTGGACTCCAAGGCGTGGAACTGTTTAGATCCAGTATCATTATTAGAAGCAGAAAATAGAGCTCATAAAACTCCCTCCTTACACCCCAAAAAAAGCAATTCCAGGACCCTTTATCCTACTCGAGAACAAGCCATTCCTGCATTAATTTCCCTGCTGTGGCTGGGCTTGTTGCCAGGAGAAGGAGACTCAGTGCTTTGGCAGGAGATGCACGGCCCTGGGGCAGGTCCTTGCTCCTCTCCAGTGTCACCACACCAGGGGATTTAGAAACAGAGCTGGGGATGGGCAGTGTGGTGGCCAAACCACGTTCCTGCCAGGCTGTGGAGTATTTGCAGGGGCTGCATCTGCAGTGGGAATTGCTCCCACAAGCAATGGGATGGAAATCAGCACTGGATCCACATCCCATGGCTGGGCAGACACTGCTGAGGGCAGCTGGCAGTGCCAGCCTTGGGAGTCACCGTCCTGCCACCATGCCAAGCATCCAGAGGCCCTGTGCCACCCTGGGGGCTCAACTGCTGTAGCCAAGGTGCCCCCTGAGGCACTGAGTCTGTGAAAGGACATGAGGAGGTTGCAGAGCTGCATCTAAAGCATCCCAGGTAGATCCAGTCATCCTGGAATGGTTTCTGGGGGAGATAGTTGTGCAACCACAGGGTCAGCTCAGGGGACAGAGATGTATCAGCTGTGACAGTCTCCCATTCCAGTCTCCCCTCAGAGATGGATTAAGTGCCTGTTCAGTGTTCTGTGCCAGAGGAGGCAGTTCCTATAGGTGGCCATCACTCCAGGCATGCTTCTGGTGATTCATGACATCCTTGAGGACAATATAACCTCCATCTGCTTGGTATTGCCTGGAACTTCCAAAGACACTTCTGCAGGTCCAGGCTGTGACATTGCCATCTGCTGATGGGGAGCAAAGACCCAGCCTAAGGTCTTGCACATGGTATTTGAACTGGTGGTTTAGCAGCAGGAGGGCGTTTTTACTGCTCCAGGATCAGGTAAGGCTCTTTCTCTGGCAAACCTTTCCATTGTTTGTTAACTGTAAATAGCTGTGGAATGAAATTCGATGAAGGCATCTATTGTTTCCTTACAGCTCTGCTTTGTTGAGTGGAATAGGGATCCCAGCCATGTGGAGTTTTATTATTATTTAATTTGTAGCTGCCCATAATCAGCAAATTCTTTTAGGTGAGGCTTTTGGCATTTTATATTCAGCATTCTTGCTGTCTGTAAAACCAGCCTAAACCTTTCCTTCTGTTCCTAAAGGCATCTAGTTTAAATTTGAAGTCCATCCATTATAACTTCAGCACCTTGTAATCCCTCAGAGATATGTGCAATTACTCTCTGAAATATCCCAGGAGCAAAATTAATACCAAGCATCATCTGCTTAAATTTACAACATCCAACTAGCACAGTAAAAGCCACTAGCTTAGGGGTTAGCTCATCTGAGCACTCTTGCCAAAACACATATCCTGCATCTAATACTGCTTTTGCTGCTGAGGATTTAGCTGCCACCTCAGGAATCTTCATTGGACAGCATTCACATTTTATGGTTTTATTTAAATAGCAGGAGTGGATGCACATGTCCTTCATCTGGCATTTGGGTGTCCGGCCTGCATAGCCCCTGCCTTCTCCTGTGGTGTTTCCTCAGGTTCTTAGCCATGAACTTGTCTCCCATCCTTCATCCTAGGAGCAGTTCAGCCATGATTTGTGTCAAAAAGCTTGGGATGAGGACACAGGCACATACCCTGCAGCTGAAGCAAGCTTCTTGCATAACATGGCTTTGCTTCTCCTTTCCATTCCTTAGAGTTTTACAGCCATTTTCATCCAAGCCCATTGACTTCATCCCTATAAATCCAATGATTTTTCCATAAGGATTAGTGTCAGATTCTCCCTGCAGACATCTTGGGTCTTGGAAGACAAAGGAGTACTCTACTAAGGGCTGGCTGGTGAGCCTGAGGCATTTACAGCAATGGCTTTAAAATGCACCTCATGGCCAGGCAGGGCTTTAGCCCCAGTGCAGCTCATCCACCATCGTGATTTGGGAAGCCAGGACACAGGAGGGATCCCAGTAGTGCACTAGAATGTGGATACTTGGATATGAAATAAGCATTGTGTGGGTTCTTCCTGCCTTTGAAGGCCATGGAAAAGCTGGGAGAGGAGATCCAACACCAAGGCTTCATAGCTGGGTAGAACAAGATTAAGATGAAGAGGGAAATTTAGAGCAAAGAAATGTTTCAATTTGACAACCAAGGAAATCCTGAAAAGCAAAACTGCCCTGAGAGCTCCTCCTCAGCTTTTCAGCTTTCCCTGGGCACACAGAGCAGGGTTTGCACATCACAGCACTCACTGACTGTGCCACAGCCACGGGAGCTGGGCTGAAATCCACAGGAAGGGATGGACACACCAGAAATGTTCCCTCTGGATGCCAAAAGGGCATTAGGCACCAAGTAAAGGGATATGGAAGAGGAAGGAAACTCTGCATACATCAGCATGAGGGTTTGAGCATTTTATTATGATATATAAATTTTGTCTTCTTAAATTACTCTATGAGTTGAACAGAAAGGAATTATGGTGGAGGAAGGAATATACAAAAATAAAAGGATATTGTGAGCTACTGCATCACCACATATACAACAGTAAAGTACTTTACAAGCACTTAGAGAATCAAACTTACAAAAATAAAAATATGACACATCCTTATGGATTTCCACCACTTATAAGTTCTCTTCTTCCTTCTCTAACCTTCAGACACCTTTCAATCCCATCCTCAGGTCACAATTCACATGGTAGGATACTTTGCTCATTTTGATGGCCATTACAGTATCTGAAAAAGAATTAGTGCCTCCCAAGACTTATAAAATCTAATGGTTATAGAGCTTTAGGGGAGATGTTCAGAACAGATCAATTTGTGAGTGATCAGGTGATCCTCAGGGAGCAGACTTTATCTGGCAGTGAAAATCTGAATATCCCACAGTAAGATCCATCATGCCCTATAAAGCATTCCCCCATCTCCACAGAGGCACAGCTCTGTGCATGTTTGATACACACAGAAAGTGCCTCATGAGCCTGGGGAATGCTGGTGCTCACAGACTTCAGCAGGACTGAATGACTGTGATGGAGGATGGGTCTGATTTTGTTTCAGCTCTAAAAAAGGCAAAGATGCCTTCTGCTATAGGAAAAGAGGCAGGTTAAAACCACAATGCCTAAATATCCTAGCTCACAGTGTTCACACACAGAACCATTCACCTCTACGTCAGACTCACGCAGTCTTTAGTCTTCGGTTTGCTCTACAAAGTCTTTTTTGCACATCAGCCTTCTGGTGACCTTTCCCATTTTTTTTAAGACACACTCAACATAAATAGTAAATAGCATTCACTTCTCTGACCAGCAGCTCACTCAAACACTGCTTTCAACACCCAAACACCATTTCAACAGTCTCAGAAAGTTTGCACCCAGGGTGCAAATCTGTCTGTATTTCACATTGAGGAAAGTAGAGCTGGCTTAGGAAGGAAAAAAAAAAAAAAAGAAAAAGGCAAAAACTAAAGCAGTAAACTTTTGGTCAAAGTTGTTCTCTGCAGTTTGTGCAATGTATTCCACAGCTTCTGAAAGTTCAGTATTTGGTTAGGGTTTCATCTTTTTGGCCCCAAATGCAATGACAGCAATGCAGGCAGACCAGACATGAGCATGCTCTGTTGCATTCCAGGGCAAGAGAATCATAGGGATGAAGGGGAGAGAGACCCCCCCCACCTCTGAGAGAGGGACTTTCCATATTATAAAAAGCAATCTTCACCTCATCAAGAAAGATAAAGGCAGTGTCTGACATTACCCATCAGGCTTGCAGAGCTGTGGGCAACATACACATCAGGATCCTGGGGAGAATAGTGTAGCCACAGTCCCAGCTGTTGAAGGAAACTCACTTTTCCATGGTCTAAATTTATCATCTGTATCTTTGAGAAAATATACAGGGACAAAGATCTGTTGGGCGAGATTAACAATGCTCCATTTAAAAGAAAAGCACCTCCCTAGTGGGACTAATTGTTCCTTTTGGATGTACAAACACTCTACAGGTATGGCACAAGGCACTTCTTGGCTGCCCAGAGTGATTCTTCATTGGCAACACAAAAACACAATTCAGTTTCTGGTGTTTAAGCAAACCAAAAAAAGTCATCGCTTTTCTCAGTCATGAGTAAGATGAACTTTGGCTTTTGGCTTTTCTACCCCTTCCTATCCCAGCCCAACAAGCCACAGGGATGGAAGCAGCAGGGACAGAGTGGGCAGGCAGGTTGGGATGTGTGCCCAGGCAAAGGTGAAGACTTGACCCTCTGTGCTTTCCTTGACCTCAGGAAAAACAAAGTCCCTTTCCAACTTTCCAGCTTTTGCTGAGAAGAAAAGCAGCTTGTGGTGCACCCATGGGAGATACCATATAACAAGGGATTTTTCAGAAATTTCTCCAGATCTCAGGCACTTGGCAATGTCCCAGTTTGGATGTGATCCAGGGTGATAGTCCAACCATAGCCACCGTGGCTACACAGCTCAAAATGTGTTCAGCAGCCTAGAAACCCAAGCTGCTTTCTATCTCCTTTTTTTACCCCTAACATGGCAAGATCAGAAAAGCTGCTTAAACTCAAAAGAACAGGAGCATGTTAGGTCACTTCTAGTGTATTTGCAGAGAAAACAAAGCATGAAGCTTCAAAGAGGTCTGGGCTGGGTGTGTGGGATGCTCCAGTGCCAAGGATGCAGCCCTGCACTGCACCCTCCCAGGGTCACATCCACCTGTGAGACTTTGCCTCAGCAGCTCCTCTCCCTGTGTGGTGAAAGTCCAGGTTGAGGCTCAGTCTCTCTGCTGGATTTGTATTTGCACACTAGGTTTTTTTGGCTTGCTTAACTTACTGTTGCAGCTGATATTTAGGAAACAGAACAGTGGACAGAGTGGGCAGAAACCTGCAGCTTGTCATGATGAAAGGGATTTTTCCAGGGAAAACCTGTCCTGCTCAAAGACCAGCATGATCAAGAACAGCAGCTCTGTGCTTGAAGCAGGGGAATAATCCAGCTGTTAAAAGGAGCAAAGCCCAATGTGTGGTCAGAACAGGGAGAGTCTGGCATCCCCTCAGCTCTGAGGTCAGCCTGTCTCTATCAGTCCACTCTGTCATTGTGCAGAGATCTCCTGGGTGTGAGTACTGGCCTTGCTTTTGGACCTGGATTACACTGCTGTCAGCTTGGGAACCTTCCCCTTGGCAGAATCTCAGGGATGCAGGGCCCTCCACATGTGCCCAGGGAGGCAGAGGGGTATTTCCCCTGCTCCCAAGGCTCGCTCAGCAGCCTGTGGCCAGCGGGACAGACCTCAAGATGAACTAGCACAGAAGTGCCATCACCAGCCTCACCACACTGGGACCACTTTCACCCAAACGCCAACTCCCTGCTGCCTAAGCCAGCTCTCCTGTTTGCTGGAGCCCTGGGGAGAAGCGTTGCTTCAGGCATAATAATCCCTCTGGAGGCACATGCTGCTTTTCCAGGCTTTGATGCTGACAGACAGTGACAGCAGAATCTGACCAATAACAAATATAATCCTTGTTTGTGTTGCTGTAAAGAATTCAACAGTAGGTGGAAGCCTTGGAAATCCTTTGAGAGGTTTCTTCCTACCAAGTCCTAACTCCCAGTAGAGAGGCAGAGTTCAGCACTGCCATAAAACACATCTTTCAGCACTAATGATGCCTCAGCTGTCAGGATTGAAGTTTGTATTTAAAGACTTTATATTTACCTCTGGTGGAAAAACTGCTACATTTTAAACAATAGAACTCTGTTTCATAAAGGTCACAGTTCTGGTCACATTTACCAACTGCTCTTTGAAACTGATGGAAAAAGTATCTTTATATGTCACTAATTTTATTATTTTTTCAAGTTTTTCAGACTTTTTTTTTTAATCTCAGTGGGTTTGTGCGTCAACTGTTCTGGGCAATCAGCTATGTCTTGTTGACATTGTTAATAGGCTTTCTGACTTGGCTGCTCAGCTGTGTTCTGAAATAACTCCATCAGACTCACAGCAAGTCAGGAACAAAATGGAAAGTTTAGAAGAGAGAAAGCTGGAAATTAATTTCCGGAGCTGTGTGGTTATTTCTAAGTCTGAGCAGCATGCAAAAATTCTTGGTAAGATTTTTGGAGACAATTCCCTGCTATTTTCAAAAGTTATATGTTTGTGGGAATCCAGACTCTTGCAGATTTTCAGCAAGAGACCAAAGTGAAGATATACCAGGAGATGGGATTAATGAGTGAGGAATATTTTACCTTAGGATGGCTGCACTGGCTCCTGCTCACTGTTTCTTTGTCTTTTGCAGACAATTCAGCTGCTTGCAAAGTACCTGTTTCTAGTGCTATAGCCTGGCTAATTAAGGAAAACCTGGATGAGATTTGGGCTCCTCAATCCTTCAAGCTATGCACGGAGAAAGTTTGGCTGCTCCTCTACAGGCAGAAAAGCTGCCCATGCCACAACTATGGAAATTATTGAGAGGGTGAGTTAACCCTGCCCTGGCTTCAAAAAAGCCAGAGAGCATCTTCCTGCTCTACACTCCTCTCTTCAATACAGCCACACCCTGAAACTCAGAAGGGCTGCTAGTGCACACAGATCCCTTAAATAAGGTGTTAGAGGCAGTGAACAGCATAGCACACTTGGTCTGACAATACTTTTGATAAAAGGGCACTGGGCTCCTGAATCTCTCAGTCACTTTTAAAAACTTGCCCTTCAGCTGTTCATTTTCCTTAGCCTCCCTACTTACTCCTGGCTGGGCTCACAGAAGATGTGTCTGTGCATCAGAGCAGGCCTTTCTCCCATCTCCTGGCTGTGCTGTGCCTTGCTATGGTATACAAACATCCAGCTGCTTGCAAGAGCTGGGGAACCTGTTTAAATCCTTTTTTTCTTGGGATGACAGTCTCCACTCCTTTCAGGAAGTGGGGTGACTGCAGTGCTGTAATAGGGCAGCTCTCACTCAGATGAGCTGTTGGAGCAAGCTGTGATGTACTGGTACGAATAACCACCTCCTCTGCATTTCAGCTCTGAAAGAGATCCGGCCTGGGGTGGGCTGGGCTGACCAGACGCTGGCTCTGCAGTTGGTCTTCCCTTTGCAGGGACCAAAATAGCTCTGAAGCTTACAGTGACTCTCACCTATGTGCTAGACGAGACCTACAGAGCTCACAAGGCATCATTCTGCTATGGGTAACAGGGTCCTTTGTCATCTTGATTTCATCTAAACTCAAGCCAAAAATAGATATGCTCGGGGAAAAAAAACCAAAACCAAACCCCAAAATAAAATCCAGATCACGAATGTCAGAAACGTCGCAAAGTACAAGCCAGCCTCTCACTGATCAAAACCATCCTGTGCCCTTCAAGCCTCCTCCCAGCCAGTTCAGCCTCACCCCAGAGCTGTTCTGCAGCCATGAATATTCAGTTGCCACCGAGCAAGGCCCGGGCAGAGCGAAGGCCGCGGCCTCCCGGGGGTCGCGCGGTTGCCAGCGGCGGGGCGGATCAGAGGCTCTCGCTGTACATGACGCACGGGTTGGTTTCCTCGCAGAGTTCCAGCTGCACGCTGGAAGCAAACCAGCGCTTGGCACAACCCAAGCTGTAGTTGAGGGTGGTCCGGTAAATGTTCTTGGCACGTTTAGGGAAAATGATGGTCGTGCTCTGAAACCTCACCGGCTTCTGGCGGGGCTCGAAGATCAGCTGGGACTTGTAGTTCCGCCAGGTGCAGTTGGGAGCGGCGATGATGGTCTCGCTGTAGGTGGTGACGGTGGGGATGGGGCCATAGAAGATGTCATCCCGATAGTGCTTCTCCGAGTCGTACTTCACCTCGGAATTGCACCTACGGAGGACAGACAGCAAGGTATGAGGAGCACAGCCCAGGCAGCAAAGGAGGAAAGACAGGCAGGACTCTTCTCTAACCCTTCGAAGCTGGCAGCATTTACCACCTCTTACTGCACAGACACTGGGGCAGATGCCAACTCCACAATCCAAAGCCTGGATGAGCCTTCCTAGAAGAGTACTCTGTCCTGCTGGGGAATCTTGTTGGAACCCCACTGTGAATCCATCCTGGCATTTCTGCAGTGTGGTCACACCAGGGCAGGAAACACCTTTGTTGCACAGGCTGCAACCAATACTCTTCTTCCTCTGGTTTTCTCCATGGGTCCCACTGGGGCCTCAGCTCAGCCCTGAGAGCTACACTGGAGGCAGACAAACACCCTGTAATGGACCTGTCAAGGCTGTTCGTCTTTATTCTCAATACCACCTTGCTGTCATTGAACAAAGATGCCCAAACCAGCTAAAATCTGAGTGCTGGGAGATGAGGTTGCTTGTTGGAACCTACAAAAAAACCCAAGCAATGCTGAAAGAGCAGGTAAAGCAAATGGATATTGTGGGCTATGGCTGCCCAGCCACTGGTGTCAAAAAGAACTGGCCACCTGAACTGCCAACAGATGAACCACAAAAGGTAAGATGTCACGGCCCTGCCTTTTTTCTGCAGTCGTCCAGAAAGGATGTGCAGACACTGGGCCAGAAAAAGGGCTTTTTCTGCAATCCCTAGCCATGGAGAACAGCAGGATTTCCACTGGTTTTCCCTGCTCCCCAAACGTTCCTCCAGCAATCAGCAGCCAAGGAATGTGCAGCTCCACGTAAAAAAGATTAAAAGCTGGGTGTGTGCTTGTCATTACCTCCACCCAGAGGGGGGCTGACTGATTGTGCAGCGTGTGTAATCTGAGCTGCTGTAATGTATTTTGCACAGCTAGGGTGTAAGCAAGTCATTCAGCACACATAAAACAAGACTCCGATGTAATCGCCATAAAAACATGCCCGCTGGCAGTTCCTCAGCCAGCAGCTATTTACTGGGGTACATTTCCAGAGAGACTTTAGCATAGGTTTGAGGGGGTTTACAATCCTCCCACTGTCCCTGCCCCAAGCTGTGTGTAAGTGTTCCATGCTGTTTGCAGGGTACATTCCACATCAGCAAAAGAGCAAAAGAAGAGCAAAGACCAACATTTATCCATCGGCCACAGCACCAGCCCCACAGGAGGGCAGAACATCTCCGTCACTGGCTTGAGGGACCATCTCCTCACACGGAGGAGCTCATTCAGTCTCTGTGGGATGTCTAATGTTGGTTTCTCTGTGGCAAGAGTGAACAAAAACAGGTGGCAATTAGAAGGGTGTTGCTTCTTCTGAAGATACAAGTCATCTGGGAACAGTATGAAGACCATCAGATTACTTAGTGGAAGCCATCAAGCCCACAGATGGTAATGGTTTTCTCTCATAGCCTTGGATTTTAGCTGGCCTTGGAAGGAAAGCTGCCTTCTGTTAAAACTCCCTCCAGTTCTTGCCTCCTCCCCTCTGCCTGTGCTGCTATCAGTGGCTTTAATTCAGGAATTACCCTCCCACCTGTCCTTCCCTTTCCACCAAAATAACCATGACTCCTATTTGTAAACACATTTTAATTTTTGGCAGAAGCACCAGAAAAAAGACAGAAATCCCCATCTACCCACCCAATCCCATCTGTACCTGATTTCCTGCACAGGTTCAGGGTTGACCTCAATGCTTTCTCCAAAAAACACCGGGTACATTCGAGGCCTTATCTCTGGCATGGACGGGTTCAGGAGCAGATAAGGCATCTGCAGGGAAGGAGAACACAGCAAGTGTTGGCACACGACAGATGGGGCTGGCACAGTTCATAACATGCTGTGGCTGGCAGCTGAGCAGCCTAACACACCTGGACTGTCCTCGCCTACCAACGCCTCCCTCTGCCCCAGCACACCTCCCAGGTACGTGACTGTGCCCACATCTCTGTCACTTCATGCTGCAGTATCTGTTTGTCAAAATTTAATCTTGCCTTTCCTTCTTCCTTTCTTGTTTCTCATAGGAATTGCAATTGTTTTCAAGTTTTCTTTAGCTTTGATATTGCCTTTACTGCTTACTCTTTCTAAAACTTAAGAAGTCAAGTCTTAGAAAGTCGAAGTCAAATCAAGACTTTGAGTAAAGTGATTCAAAATGTGTCAGCATGGAAGAGTGCTCCATGCCTGACCTAACAGCAATAGGGCCTAAAGCTGCTAACTTGAAGGATGTAGGTCTACTGAAGTGAGAGGTGTGTATGTATTTTTATATGTTATGTACATACAAATATGTACATAAAATCATGTATCCCTTGCAACAATCCAGCAGAGGAAGTGATAGACTTGTTGTTCCTGAAGTCTACGTGCCAAAAATGTCTCTTGTGCTCCAAAGGACATTCTTGTTAACCATAAAACTGAGGGTGGGGTGAGACACTGAGGCACCTTGTGGCCTCTGCAATGCAGGAAGCCAGTTGCAAGCCAGGACTTAATAATGAATGGAGCAGCTCCAACTCAGGACACCAAAAACTGGATTTTAAAGACTGACTGCACCGTGAACTTACTCTGACAAATTGTCACAGGCCAGCCTAGGCTCCTCTGCCCACCACTAAATTATTAATCCCACTTCTCTATACTGGAGTGCTCCTGAACACCAGTTCCCACATATGGAGATCCTGTGTCTGGTGCCTGGACCAAACCCAGCAGCTAATTCAGCCTAATCCTGCCCTCCTGGAAAAATGTCACTGCAGGTTTCAGTCTCTGCCACTACTTTTCTGTCAGCAGATATTTATGACACACAGGGACACAGGATCTCTTTAAAGGAGATGGCTGGCAGCCTCTGTGCAGGGTCTGTAGATGGCTAGTTGAGTCTGCTTTCCTCTGCTGGTTTGGGCCTTCTGCCTCAAACTAAGACAAAAAATGTCACTGCTCCATCTGAATTTGCCAAATTCTGCGTCCCAAAGCCACAAATATGTTTCTTCTTTTCGTACTGAAATACCCCTGCATTTTGCAACTGTGTAAAGTTGTACTATAAAGTAAAATGGCCAACTCCTCTTTGTGTTTGAGTATTTCTGTTCCATTGTCAAAACAGAACAGTATCTGCATAGTTATGGAAGGAAAAAAGAAACAAAATATATATGTTCACCCTCCCTAGCAAACACTGGCCAAAAGGCGAAGTTCATTCCTGAATTGCTTTCAACACTCTTGACAGGGGAGGGCAAGGGCAGTCTTTCTGGTCATAAATAAAGCTCTTTGCTTCTGAAATGTGAATTGTTTACATCAGACAAGCCTCAGTTCACAAGGGTGCAGATGTCCAGCTTGTAACAGTCTGCACATGGCCAGAGCTCTTTCTAAAGACATTTTGTACATAAGAAGAGGTTCATTTTGGGTGCAGGAGTCAAACGCCATTTGCTCATGAGCTTTGTGAACAGCAGGCAGGCCGCCCTTTGGGGGTTCACCTGCAGAGGGATGTGGACTGAATGAACTGGTGAAGGAAACAAGGCTTGGGGATACGTGTCCCTCCTTTAAAGAAGCAATTTCAAAGAAGTGCTTCCAGGCAAACAAGCCTTCACACTTCTTGCTAACAAATGCTGACACTAAGTGTGCTCCAACCATCCCCAGGACGCAGGAGATGTTATGAAGTCTTTCCTGTGGCTTAGCAGGAATATTGCTGGGGCATCTGGCCCCCAGTGTGTGGATGGGAAAAGCCTTCCCAGCCCACTGAGCGCCGGGAGTGCCGCTCGGTCAGAGCGTGGGCAGGGCGGCAATCGCGTCTGTGGAAAGCACAAGTCCCACAGCAGGGAACAGGAAACAAGAACACGCTGCAGAAACACCACCAGTGTGCACGGAGAGATGGAGGCGCTGGCATGCATCACCGACATCAATCAGAGTCAAAAATTTGCTGCTGAACTTGGTGAGAGCAGGATTAAGCGTTCTCCAGGTTAGTTCTGGATGGGGCGGTGATGAGAGTATTTCCATTGTGGGTTACAGTTAACCTGCCCTGGGCAGGGAAGGGTGGCAAAAGGTATTTCACATGCTGTAGACAAGCACCAACCTCAGACCTGCAAGCCTGGCTTAGTTTAGAAAGCTGGAACAACTGTGAATATTGGGCAGGCCAAAGCCAGGATTTCTACTGCCTGTCAAGACCATTACAGACTCAGACCTCTCTTCTGTGAGCTGCTGCTGAAGTAACCTGGAATTCTGCACATGGAATATGTAAATAACTTACAAAGCATGGCCTAAAAATAGAGATCTCTAAGAGCCTGCAGGCTGCTCACCAAACAGCAACTGATTTGCTTGCACAGCATGAAGGGGTCACTAAACAGCAACCACAGGTTTCCCACAGCAGCCACTGAAAGGCACTTCAGGTGACATTTTGTTTTCCCTCCAGTGATGTTCTGAAATGTCAGCTCCTGCAAGTCACCTGGAGCTGGGAAGCAAGGAATAGGGGATATGAGCTTTCCAAAAGATTTGTGTTTGGGCCTGAAATGTTATATGCTTGGCACATGTCAAAAGCTGGCTTTTTGGCAAGAGTTTGACACCAACTCCTTCCAATCTGCTGTAAGGAAGAAAAAAAAAAAAGTTCTGCCTGTCAAAAAATACTGACTCAATTATTTTTCCTTTTGAACAGGAATGGCTGAAAGAAGAGGAGCACTGGACTGTTGAGCTCCCTTGAGAAAATGAGGATCCCTGGCTCGTTTCTAGGAATCACTTGGTGATCTCCAGACACTCCACAAATAAGGTAGGTTTCTGTTATCCTGCACTATGGATAGCCTGGCAGGGAGCAGAGCTTGCTGTGCACTCCTGGGGGTCACAGATGGTGAAGAGGAGAAGCCCACATGACTTTAGACCAGTGTGTCCACGAGTGATCCACAGTCGAGGTCTGTCTATCCAAGGGTTGCTGTGCTGGAACGCTGCAGTGGGGACCTGATTCATCTGTCCCCAGTTACTGGAGCTGTGCTGGTACTTACCAGATGCAGCTTTGCAAAAACACCACAACCCTGTCATCTTTAAGGACAGAAGGAGTCTGGTAGGCAAGGAAGTTTGAGAAGATAAAATGAAAGATACCAGAGACATCAAAAAAGCAACTCCTATCAAGTTTACAACTTGATCCAAGGTGAATATTAGGCAGTAAATGAGCTATTATTTTTATTTCTCTTCCAGTACATAATTTGTGTCAACCAGCAAAGAGTTACAGTACTATTAAAAAGCTGAAGAGCTTTCTTGTTTGGCTGCATTTTTCCCTCTGTCTGCTTTTTGCTAGTAGCAGATAGATAAACACAGATAAAATTGGTTGCTGAACAGAATTAAATCTACAGCTCAACAACAGCATTGACTGTTCCTCAGCTGCCAAATTCCAGGCAGCAAAGCAAGAAAAAGGAAAGGAAATTAACATGACTTGAAATAAATAAACCCCCAAAACCTTTCCCCAGAGAGCACAAAGAACCAGAACTGACCGACTCCTTTTGCTATGGTGATTATATGGAAGGCACTAAGATGTGGCATTAGATCTCCAGGGACCGTAAGAGGAAACAGCTTTCCAAGTGTCAAGGCCACAAACAGGATACAGCTTCCCAAATTCCCAGCTCCTAACTTAGCTAGGGCATAAGCAAATCTCTCACCACATTTTCCCACTATGGTAACATGTCAGGTCCATGAAAATGTCACTTTACTCAGCTGTTATTTACAGCTATAATGAAAGATCTGGCTGAGTTATTTGACACACATCTACATTCTCCGCTCTAGAAGATAAGCAATATTTGTTTAACAGACCATTTATTTTCCCAATATCTGCACGTATTGCACATTACGAGTAATTTATACTAGAGCCGGATGAGATTATATTGGGAGGTGATAACAGTAAATGCAAACCTCAGGTAGAAAGCAGGGCTTTATTATTTCAAAGAATTACATCCTTCCTGCTTATCTACTTCTTTTATTTCAAGTGGGAAATGCATGCTGCTTTGCTTATTGTCCACAGGGTTACATAGGGACACAATGGAAATTCAACAGCTAGAAGACATCACCCTCAATGTCTTTCATCAGAGCCACACTTTTCAGAGCAGATGATGAGATCCTGGTGCCTGTTTCCCTGATCTGCCCAGAAGGGACATCTGTCAGATGAGGTGAGGCAGATCAAGTGAGGCCCAGAGCCATTCCCTATCCTTCAGGAAGGAGGAAGAGGAGCGGGTGCATATCCAGAACTGGATAGGGCTGAGGGACAGGGAACAGCCAGGTGGGATTAGCCTTTGCCAGGAGAGGACACAGGCATGGAACTGAAGCTGAGGGAATTCCTGCAGGATCCAGCCCTATGGGAGTGGCTCAGAAGTGGGTCAGGATGCCAGGCTGCCAACAAGCCCTGAGGCAAACCCTGCTGCGGTGCCAGATGGGTGCCTTGCTCCCCAAACCAGCCTGGGGCTTCCCCAGAGCTGCCTGGACCCACGTGGCCTTGGGAGTCACGTCCCCTGCCTCGTGTGTGGGCTGCAAGCTGGCTCAGGTCAGGGTGCTGGGCTTCCCTCTCACGTGTGCTTTCACTGTAGGTGTTGGCAGATATGGAAATTATGTATGGAAAACTTTTGATGGCCATGCTCCCCACCCAGTCCCTACAAGACATTCCTGAGGCACTTACAGTGCAGGACAAGATGGTGGCTCTGTGACCCGAGGGGTCTTCAAAATGCTGCATGTCAGGAAGAGATGTTCTGGGTTTTTTGGTTTTGTGTTTGTTTTGGTTTTTTTAATATGAGCCATTAATCCAACAGGGTTGGCACAAATGCTGACTTGGACCATGGTGCTGGGACCTCATTGTTGTCTGTGGAGGCTGTGCCAAGGGGTAACATCTCTTTCTCCGTATTTGAGATGAAGCTGGAATCTCCTCCCACCACCCAAGAGTGATTCTGAATCATTCTTGCTGCTGAATGTAAGTAGAAATTCCCTACAGCTGATTCACTGGGATACAGTGCCACAGAAGTCAGTGCTCACTGAGGCAGGCTGAGTGCACAAACACTTAAATCTTACAAAGTAAAAGGAAGTCACTGCAGTGGGAAAAGCTTCTTTCACTGTTGGGAAGGAACATAAAATCTGCTGCTTCAAGAAGGCACAATGGATAGTTCTGCAGATGAATGTGAGCTTGATGTCCCCTGATATCCATTAGGAGCTGTGTGATGAATGCAAAGCACTTATTTCAGCACAGTCCAAAAGCAGTTCTAGCCTAAATCTCTATCCCAGGGCAAGAACTACAGGGAAAACTCTAAGCAGATATGGGTACTTTGATGTCATTTCATTCCCCATGCTTTCAGCAACTGCTTCTTTGTGCATATTATTAGGGATTTATTTTGTTGTACTTCTGTTCCTTATGACCCAGCTTTACAGATACAGTCTAGAGAATTCAGTAACCCAAGTCGTAAGAATCAATTTAATAATGTTTCAGATTTAAAAGGCAGAACTAGGTAAAAGTCACCTTCTATTTTCCTTAGGATATTTGCACTTAAGCAAAAAACACTTGACAAATTCCCTACATGGACTTTATTTGAAGAAATAAAAGCCAATTTATCCTGCACTACAAGTAAAATAAAATTAAAAAAAAAAAGGCCCTAAATGGTGTTGAACTTGTGGTATTTATGACTCTGGCCCTAAATTGCCTTTCATATTTTCTTGGATCCCAAAGCTGTTCCCAAATTGGCTGGTTAAATGTGAATAAATGGTGCATTGTCTTTGAAACAAAGTTGTGCTTATTAAAGAGCGGAGAGTTTACTTTTTCAGAGTCACAGTTAATAACACAGAGCAGAGAGAGCACAGATTTTACACACAAGAAAGTCTTCGATAAGGGCATGCAATCTCCTTTTAGTCTGCATGAGAAGGGCTGTCCTAAAGCAGAAAAATTTTGTAACATATTTGTGAAGCTGGAGCAAAATGCAGAAGAATGCAACTGGGTTCAGACTGGTGGTTTGATAGTTCTGCAGCAAAGAAAAGTATGACACGCTTCACTCTGATCTGGAATGTTGTCTCTTTCACCTGACAGCAATTTATTAAATGTACTTACTAGAACTTTGGCTGTTGGTGACTGAGCTTATATATGGTTTTATAGTATTCCAACACAAAGAGTGCAGGTTGTGTTCCTGGCTCCATCACGTTTATAAGCAAAACAAACACTAATATAACAGGCGATTAAAACCAGCATTTCTTGGTGTGCAAATAGCTGCAATTATTGATTTGCCAATTCTGCATGCTCTGATGAACAGCAGAGGAATAGACTTAAACAGAAGCACATTCATGGGTTGCATAACTCCTCATAGATCTGCAAGCCCTTGTAAAATGGCAAAATTAAAGCTAATTAGACACTGCAATTTAGAAGTATGAAGCAAGCAATGCTCTCCATATTTTTACTGCTTTAATATCAGCTGCAAATACAGTATTTGCACAGTGGAAATGAGAGGAAGCAAAACTCTCTGTAGTCAAAGAGTGAAAATTCCTATTTACTTCATTATTTTGCAGTCAACCCAACAGAGTTAAAGAGCAGAGCCCAGCACCACTCCAAATAATACAGTCCAACTGATTTCAGCATTTGGACCCCTGCAACCTTCTGTACCTGTTAAGAGCACAGAATTCCATAAATTCCCAATGTATGGAACCCATACTCTAAGCAGGAGCCCGGGGTTACCCTTGCAATGTGATACAGAATTTGGAAACATCTACAGTGTGAGCTTTTCTGAAGTGTCTAAAATGTTCATGAGCGATGAAAACAATTGAAAAACTTAATTTTACTTTATACAGATCACAGGAATAACTTTTTTCCCCTGTAGGAGTCAAGCATTAAAATTCTCACTCCTAACAGCCCATGAACTGAAATAAATTTTCTCATGTTTTTTCTTCTTCGATATCTAAGGACTTTCTTGGATGGTGTGGTGGCCAACTGTCATATGACTGGATTGGAGACTGTCACATCCCCGTTACAGGGTTTTTGCAGACACCTCCACCCCTGCTGTTTTCTGGTCCAGCAGCCTTCCCCATTCCTCCCCCATTTTATTTTACAGACACACAGCAACAGCCTGATCCTGCCAGCCGAATCAGAGGTGCGTGGGTAACTTTGTACAGAAACACTCCCATCGAGATGGCACACACGCCCAGGCATCTGCAGGTAGCGCTCCGTGTCAGGAACTGCGGCGTTAGCAGGTTTGAGATTTGACTGTCATAATAACACCTCACACCCTTTCCACTCTGAGGAGTTGTTGTTCATGGGGAAGGTTTTGGCATGTTCAGGAGTAAAAGGCAGTTTTCAGTAACATGCTCAAAAGGCCTTAGAACTTGAGAAAGTGCGTGAGGGTATGTGGAGTCATTGCAAAATGTCTCTGTGGGAAAGAAGTCTTTAAATTGTCACTAAACCATAGGTAGATAAATTTTTCTCATGGAAAGATTTTGCTGCAGTTTTCATTCCATATAGAAGCCAATTAACCACACTGAATACACCTACAAACATCTTTTATAAGTGTTTAAAAAAAAATTTTAAAGAGCCCTGGGGAAGAACTTTCATCATCCTTTAAAAACCTCCACTACCCTTGCTTATGCTCTGAACGTTGTGTTTTAAAAATGAGTTTTATAGCTCAGGGATAGAAATAAACAAATAAAGCAAAATAATAGTCATAATAAATCTACCCAAATCCTACTCCACATTCAACCACTTCACTGGCACTGCATCAGGCTGCCCGAGACCTGCAGCGCTCTGCCAGCTGTCTGAGCTTACAAACCACTACCCCCGGCTCTGTTCGGCCGCCAGCAGACAAACCTTTTGGACAGGCTCATGCCACAAAGCCCCTCTCCAGCAAAGGGCAGAGGCACACAGCCCTTCCCAGACCCTGTCCCGCAGAAACTCCCCCGACACGCATTCCTACCCTGCCCCAGCTAAAGGGCACTTTTGTCTTTTTTTGTGGGGCTTTTTTCCAGGGCTCCAGCAAACGTGGCTCCACGCTCCTCACAAACCAGATGTGGGATGCCAGGGTGTAATGATGGCTGGGAGCCAGACGCCCCTGCCTCGGTCCGGATGGATGCAGCTCCAACCTGTACCTATCAGAGCAGCGTCACTGAGAAACAATTACACTCTTCTGTTCCGAAGGTGGGCAGGGGAGTTTGGTTCAGACTTGGATTTCATTCCCACACCGTCGTTAGAGTTCACCCAGCCGAACTGCCAGCACTGTGAGCGTATCCAAAAACCCTGCCCGGCACTGGGCCAAGCTCTGCCTGGCACAGCAGCGGCGCTGCCAACACCGGACTGCGGCTGCCACGGGCAGCCCGGAGTGTCCCCGGCCGGCGAGGGAGGCACTGCGGCGGAACTCAGCCCAAGGCTGCCCAGGCTGTGGTCACAGNCCTCTCCCTCATGAGGGGACGGGGCAGCCCCCGCGCACGGCCGGCCGGAGAGGGGTGTCCTCACACACCTACCCGTGGGTTGTGGCTGTCCTCTGCTCAGTCCCTTGCTGCTGTCCGAGTTTTCCCTCAGTTATGGTCCATTTTCCCCTCCGTTCGGATTTTTATTCTCCTTCGATCTCTGCACGCTCCGAGGCTGGGAAAGGGACCTCGCCACATACAACACACCGTCATCGCAGGGCCACAGCTTCCCCTCAGTGCAGTCCCAAGTTTTCCTGCACTCAGAGCTGATTTCCCCCTCAGTTCTGATTTTCATCATCCTTTCACCCTCACACCCTCAAAGTAGCCTTTCCCCTCCGTGTCGTGGCTAGTGGGCATGAGGGAAGAGACTTTCAAGAGCCATCTTCGCTTTGAGGTGGCAAAGGGCAGCCTCACCAAGGCAGCAGGTCACCATGGCAGTCTTGGCTACCGAGGTACACACACCTGCCATATCCCCTCACGACAGCCCTCACACCTCCTGCTCCCTCACGCCTCTTTCTTTGGCTCCACAGCTGCTGGTCCACAACCAAGGAGTCGGCCTCCCTATCCCAGCCATCGTGTGGTCAAGGCCTCTAGCTAGGAGGAGCAGCATATGCCAGAGGCACTGCCAGCAGAGAGGGGAATGGACAGTCCATATTAACCCTCAGGTTTCAGAGAAGCAGCAGTGGTTAAACAGGTCAGGCTGGCTGAAGCCAATATGGTCATTTGTTGCACAATAACCGGTTGAGGTTAATGTTACCTCGTCCACAGCTCCGGCTGTGTTTTTCTCATCATATTTTCTCTCTACATTGTCTAGATTGTGAGAAATCTGGGGCAAGCCCACTCATATGGCTCAGCTCAGTGGAGTTTTATTCATGGCAAATAGGTTTCCATGGGAAGCTATTGAAATCCAACTGGCCTTCTCTTGATCAGAGTTATTGGCCCAGCATCCAGTGGAATGAGACTGTGTCTGTCTGTGCTACAAATTGGACAAACACAATGCTTGTTGTGGCAACGAATGAATATGTCAGAGTTCTGATACTGTAATTAGTGATAAAGGCTTCACACCCAAACCACGAAGATGGTGCAAAGTTGGGTTGAACCTAAAAGTGCCCCCACTGCATCCTCTTGAGGGAGCAGATCCCACTGTAGGGTGGTGAAGCTGGATTTGTTTAGATGTGTTCTTGCTCAAATCAAAAGGAAATTTGGCTAAGGATGCCTAAATCCACCTTTGACTGAAATGAGGGGCCCTCCTCAGTGTGACTGAAGTGATTTGTATGCACCGAGCTGTGCAGAGGAATGTCACTGATTTGTAAATGTCAAACAGGCACCGAGCAGCCCACACACGAACCTCAGTGAATTCTTACCTCTGACCCGTTCATCAGCTCCAGCAGCTGCACAGGCGGATTTAGAGCCCCTTACTGTAAGGGCTCTCATGTCTCACACAGGCTATGGCTGATCTGAAAATGTCAAAGGGGACTGACGGTCAAAATTTCCATAAATTAGTCCCTGGCTTGCTACCTATCACAGAATAGGATTCTCTGGCCAGTTAACACTGTGAAGTCAGGCATTCAGCCCAGCAGTTCCCCTGCAGCCCAGTTCCCCTGCCCCTCTCCTAAACTGGCTCAAGACCATGTGTGCAAGGGGAAGGAGTGTCTTCAGAACTGCTTTCCTCCTCGGAGAAAAAAGAAGCAGGACAAAGAGACACTGGGCAGGGGTGAGTACACTGTCCTTTTGTCCTAGAAAGCCTTGTTTTAGTTTGGGGAACAGTTGAGGGGAGACTGTTTTCTCTGTTTCTTGTTTTGAGAAAACTGCAATCCAGTCTTTCCTGGACCTAAATAATGTATATTTCTAAAGGTAGATTTCAGTACAACATGTTTTCAGCTCAGAAGTGGTTGTTATGGTTTAGGAGTTGTTGAGCTGAGCATCCCCCAGCACTGGTAAGGATGTTGACTTCACTTATGAGTGGCAAAACTGCTGTTGGTTCTGCAGGGCATGTGTGCACACACCTAATGTTGACATTGTTATTACGGATGTTGTTGTTCTGCAGAGCATGTGTGTGCTGTGATGGTATTATTGTTATGGTTATGATTAGCAATCTGTTTAAAGTTAGTAGTGGGTTGCTCACCCAAGTTGGAGCTCTCTTGTGTAAAGCACAGGGCAGGCACGTGGTAAGAAATGCTCCTGTCCTGATGGTTGTGATGGAAATGACTCAGACTTTGGTCAGAGTCCTCCTAGAGTCACGGTATGTTCCTCTTGGCCAGTGAAAATCAGCCTGAAACTGAGTGGAAGATTCAGTGTGCAGACACAGGTAAAATTAGGTCTGGTGAAACAGGATTTAAATATGGCACAGTGCCCTATCGAAGGAGAAAAGGAGCAAAACAACAAATTTTTCAGCTGAGGCCATGTTGCCTTACTGAAACCCTCCTTAGTTCAGCACTTCTTAATTTGCTGGAAGGAATCACTAGGGACTGGTACATTCCTGTGTTTTGGCTTGGGAAAAAGGAAACTGGGCCCTTGTGTGTATGGTGGGACAAGGAGGAAGGAAAAGTCTGGAGGGGAGTTTTCTGAAGCAGCTGAGACAAACAGGTGCAAGCACAGTGGTACAAGGGCAGCAGTGTGAAGGCACAGCCTGGGGGAAAGTGGCCTCCACTACCAGCACTATCTCCAAAGCAAAAACCCTGCCTAGCTGTGAATTTGAGTGTAAAACAACTTTAAATAAGGAGTAGGGAGTCAAGTAGCAGAAAACTAGGGAATATTCCAGCAGGACTGGAATCTGTTAAGATTCACTCTAAGGTAGTGGTGCAATCCTGACAACAGCAATTAGAGGGCATTTTGAAGCACGCATTTCTCAGATCTTCTCCAACTTTTTTTTTCATTGATCTATTTGTTATAAAACACAAAATCCCAGGCCCAGTCCTGAAACAGGTGGGAGGTCATAAGAAAGGAACTGTGTGGATAGTGCAGGCAGGAACCCAGACAGCCCTCCTGATGCAAGCAGCCCTGCTCCTGGATAAAAGCTGGTATCCTTCCTCAAATCCACTGGGATTCAAGCCTTTCCATGCTTTTATGAGTCTTCTGCCTTCTGTTTTCCTAGCTATTCCCTTAGCTAGATTTGAGTACTTTAGGAATCTGCCGTCCCACAGACATGGCAGAGTGTCAGCATCACGTGCTAAGTTTCCTTCCACCGCTGCCAGGCTTGAAAGACAAATACAGTGAGGGAAGAAAGAGACAGGATACAAACACCTACATCAGGACTTTTTCTGAAGCAGGCTGGGTGGCAAAACGGGAAGAATGCTTGGAATGTCCATTCTGGTTCAGTGTTGAACCTGATCCTTGAGAACACCCACAGTGTAACTACAGTCCCAGTAAGAATGGCTCAGGCCACGGTTGGATGTAACCGCTCTCTGGTTCCCTCCATAGAAGAGCAGCCTTCCCTCTCTGCCCTGGGTTCCTGACAACAGTGTTGAAAGGCACCAAAGCAGCAGCATCACTGAAGGGAATATGATCACAGAGCAGGACCCAAGTACGTCAGACTCAGACCACCCTTCCCAGCACACTGCAAGTTGTTCACCTCAGCCCAAAGTGATTCAGAGCATGAGGGCAGCAAACCACTGCTCACTGCACAGGTCCAGATGTGATACAAAGGGCAGGAAGCATATCCATAGTGCTGGACCTGGAAGCCACATGCCAATAATGATTAATTTTGCAGTGTGGCAGAGTTCAAATCAAAGGAACCTTTCTGCCTGAAAAGCAGAGGCTATTTATCAGGAGATAAAATCATCTCCTGATAGGTCCACTTGTTTATTTTTAGGCAGCCCCCTACATCAGAAATTTTTTCAACCTCAACTCCCAGGTCTTGGCTGTCTGCTCCAGTGAAGGCCACAGCCCCCTCAAGCAATGATTGCACCTGCTCTGGCCCTGCTACCCTCACCAGACAAACAGCCCTCCTAGCAGTGACTTGGAACAAACTGTCTGGCAGGAAATGGGAATGAAAAGCACAAAAATCTCCTTTTCTGGGGTCAGGAGTGCCTGTTCTTGGCAATAAATCAAAGGAAGCAAATTTCCTTTGAATAGCCTGGACTTGAACAAAGACGGTCCATCTCCCAGACAAGGCAGTAGACTTTGTGACTGCAGGAAAGAGGGATGATCTTTGAAGAGCATGCACAGGGTTGTATGAGAATGTTGCCTTTTCATATTTGACTGCAGCGTGCAGATTTGTGCCACAATCCAGACAAAAACCCCCAACTGAACACTGTATTACAGAATGAGCAAAGGCTCTGGAGCGCAGAAAAATTATCAAGACTTCTGCTGACCCTGCTTGCCTTTGAGTAGGGTGCCACATGATGAGTGTCCAATTGCCTGTGGTGTCCAGTCAGAATTCGCTGATATTGTTACATACCTGAATCAAAACACACCTCCCTGCCTTACTGCCCCAGAGAAGGAGCTGCCTGTTATCCTGTGAAATTTCCTCTGCTTGTCTGTCAGGGCTGCTGTGCTGTAATCTTGGAGGATAATCAACAGCGAAACCATTCATAAATCACAGCAAACAGAAAAGACGCCGATAGGGTCTTAAATTTCAAGCCTGTGAAGCCATCATTTCAACAATGACAGTCAAAGGGGAGATTAAGAATTCTTTTACATGGAAAAGTTTTTCTTGGAAGAGCAACCCTCTCTTTTGGTTGCCTGTAACTACAGTCATGTGGATTTGATTTTTACATGGCCCTTCTGCCCGCTTGCAGGGAATGCTCTGCAGCCCCAACGGGCCTGTTCTCGCACCAAACTGGCGTGTGGAGGGACAGCGGCGGGATTGGAATAAGGCATCCAAAATGAAGGATTAAGGCTTTGTCCGGTGCTAGCAGAGGCCAAATGGGCTGCCTGTTTGGGAGGCAGTGGCAAGATGTTCCAGACCCCTCTTGGCACAAGTCCACCATGCCTCTGGGCCCAACTGCAGAATGGGACGAAGACTGGTGCCTTGTTTCATGGTGCAAGTATTTGGAGATTAACCGTACTTGCACCTCATGGTGTTTAAAGCTGTGAGGGTATTGTGAAGTCTGTCGCCAAAAAGGGAATGCAGGGCTGGATTAACACCCCACCTGGAGGGCAGGTGATCTGTTTCTGATCCAAATGGAGTCTTGTCTTGCCCTGTTCATTTGGACCAAGTGCTGTGCTAGGAAGAAAGGAGGGAGACTGCGTAGTTCTTGCATTCCCTGCTGTGGATGTTGACCAGCAGTGAGAGCCTGATGCAGGGGGAGGAGGGGAAGAAACACCAAGTGGAGGACTATGGTCTGTATGCATTTACTGTGCTTCCTTCAGATAGTCTTCCATTTATAGTGGGGATGAGGTGGCTCTCTGCTGGTTTGTTTACTCTCCCCAGTTTCTAAACATACTACTGCTCCCTACTTCTGCTTTTCTAGCCTGCTTGCTCTTGTGACAAACAAGGGAAAATATCACAGTGGGAAGGATGCTTCTGTTCCAAGCATGGTTAAAGAAGAGCACACCAAAAGGTACTCTGAAGAATTAAAAACTCTTTGAAAAAGCAAGTATTTCATAGCTTAAGATTTTCTGGAATTTTTTTCAAATGGCAGATGCATGGATAACTGAGGATAACCCTCCCCAAGAAAATAAAACACTTTTTTTTCAGATTTTTCTTGTATGCAACTATTTAAAACACAGGACCAGAGCAGAGATGTAAAGCCTCACTGAACAGATTAGAGATGAAATTCTTGACTCAACAAATAGGTGTCATTATAAGAACTCTTACAGTTTGTATTCTTGGCTAGTCTGTTGTGATAGTGTTGTGTCTCTTTGATTTATGACACATTATTCCCTCCTGTAATGTCTAACAGTCAACGGCACATTTCTTCTCCAGCTATCCACCCCATTTAGCACATTTATAAAGTTTGGAAGGACAACAACAGCTCTCAAATTGCCTTTTGGGATGTGGCACGTTGAAAACGGCATGATGCAGTGACACGTGATGGACAATGGGGGAGATGGTCTCATAGCTCTGTTTCCTCCTGCTCTAAATCAGGTATGACATGAAAGAAATTATTTGGCACCATATGGTGACCTGAGGATTGGAAGGCCGTCTTCTTCCAAGAGCAGTAGCTGTCAACCTGTCACTTGTGGAAGAAAACCAAGAAAAGCAATTCTAGTCAGCTTAAATTCGCTGTAGAGGAGCTGTGTTGCTGCTGAGAGTCCGCAAATGGGGGGGAAAAAGTCAGAACTCACTGTCCTAACTTTTCAAGTTAAAAGTCTTTGGTTCCCATGCCTAAGCTAATACCCCGCTGAAAACCAACCTGAGCATTTCTCCTAGTGAGAGTGTGGGAGCTGATAATGGATCCTTCCTGAAGGCTATCAGTCCATAGATGCTGTAACTCAGTGAATTCCTTGTTGGAGGTCGTTTGCTGAAAAGTCTCCTACTTGTTTATCCTCATCAGCAGGCTCTTAGCAGATCCATCACACACAGCCCTCCCCTGGGGCTGTCTAAGGGTGAGCAGGTATCACTGGGAATCCACTCAGCCTTTTCTGATTTCCATAATCAGAGGCAGAGAGAGCCTGACCTCTGTGTGGTGCTCAGAGGGACTGACCCGGGTACCTCTCACCAGTGTCTGCTGCATCCAGCTGCTCAACAGATGGGGCTGAGCCAAACCCCCGAGCACGGGATTCAGGCTTGGGCAGTCAGAGCTCTCTGCAGTCACTGAATTGCCATCAAGGTTTCAGCATTGGTGAATGGCCAAGTGTGGTCACCTGTCCCCTGGCAGCTGGGCTGAGACCACTGGAGTCATCAGGTAAATTACTTTGAACTGATGACCTGCAGATTTAAAGCTCTGCAACCCAGTTCCCGTTATGCACCCAGCTCCCATTTCCTTTTGTATTTCCCTCATAGAAAAGTAACAGGAAAAGCTATTACTGGCTTTATGAAATGTAAGTTCATACAGTGTTTCCTATAAGACTTCAAGCAACTCCTTGTTAAGGCAGATAAGTTAATCTGTCTATTGATTCAGGTCACAGTACGTTTTCAGCTTTAAATCACCACAGTACAGTAACTAATGGCATTTGCCATAGAAATGATGCTGAAAAAACAAGGAATCTGAGCAATTACTAGATGTATATTCCTGGTGAAAACAACTCACATAAAGACAGTGTCAGGGAAAAGGATGATTGATCATCTGGATTTTTTCTCCCTTGTGTTTTCTTGCCCACTTTCTCCACAGTTAACACCACTATTAACTGGTGCACAATTATCGTAATGAAACCTGCCAGTGGACTTTTCCACGTGAGGAACTCTGGCACTGTCAGGAGGGGCTCAGCAGGGCTTTTTATGCATGGAGGCAGAAACTGCACAGCCAGAGCAGTACAGTCCCTTCAGGCATTCAACTTTCTAAAATACCAAAGTAAGAGTTTTACCAGAGCTGGGGTTTTTTTTCCACTTTGACTTCTTGATAGAATGCTGTATGTTCCAGCCTTGTCTCAGAGCTCATTAAAGTCAATACAAAGACTTTTGGTGACTTTAATTAGCAGTGGTATGAACCCTAAAGCTGATCAAAACTCCCACCAAACTCTAAATATGGAGGTGTTCTGTTTGTATTGCAGATATAACATTTGGCTACAAGGCAGGGATGCTTGGAACTGTTTCCTCTATGCTCTCTGTGCATCTTTTAGAAGCCTGGTAGTTTCACTGGATTGTTTTTAATTATAGGGTTTTTTTATTAGGTTAAAAAAATTGGCCAGTTTCAATGTCAATGTAAAACAGAAGCAACTGACAGCTCCTGAAGTCAATGAGTGAAATTTGGCATCTCTTACAGTAGGTGTAGTTTTGTTCAGCTGTTGGCCGCTGGTGTGAGAGAGTTTGTTCTCATGGTACGTCTGCTCCACCCACATACCACAGCCCCATGGAAAAAGTTCTAATGCTGAACCTGCACTGTGGATTTTGCAGTGTGCAGGGCCAGTCCATGAAGCAATGGGAAGCAAAGAAAATCAATGTGCAATAGAAAAAATGTGCAATACAGAGAGATTTTATTTCAAGCCTGTTAGAGGGGGGAAAAAAAAAAATCAGGGACAAACCCAAAGCTTGGAGCTCAGAGTTTCTCACTGAACGGTATCGTTCCTAACTGCCTTTGGAAAGGTGTGTCACTTGTTCTCCAGACTGCCACAACACCCTGGGATGCTGTAAAAATAGCTGGCAGTGCCTGACTGACAGGCAGGAGACGTGTGACCCTAAATTATGGTGTTTTCCTTTTCATGATGAAATGAATGCTGCCTTAGACAGAGGCTGAAATACATCTGTTTGCGGTGGGAGTGCCATTTTAGGCCCGTTGCTTTTTGAAACTGGGGTTGGAATTGCCAGGGATCAGCAGAGCTATGGGCTCACAAAGAGGGCACTGTCTTTGAGGAATCTTTACATAAGCCCTGCACAACCAAGGCAACAGGAGTTTGCACAGCTGCTGCTGGAAGCAAACATGTACTTTTAGCTGACCTGGGCTGATGACTTCGGGCGTTAAATCTGACGCTTTCCAGATGTACAGACTTCTCCTGCCACAGTCCCCAAACATTCAGTCCTCAGGTAAAAAGGAAAATAATAACAATAATAATAGCAATAGTAAAAAGGCACTATAAATACCACACTGTAGTGTATATTCCAGACCTGACATTTATAGGTTGCATGGTCCAGTTCAAAGGCGAGTGGCATTATCTTCTCTAAGAGGTGTGTTTTGAACTACACTTGGTTCAGAGCTAATTAGTGCTGCATCTGTCTTGCATCTCATCTCTGATCAAGCACTTTGTTCAGAAAAGGTGGCTAAATATCTGGACCTGTTGGAAATTGGCAAATGTCTGTCTGTGAGCATAAGACCCCAGGGAATAGCCTCAAATCTGTGCTGAGCCCGGAAGCATTCACAGGACCAAAGGCATCTTGCCAAATAATCAGAAAATTAAGTTTTGTGCTTTATGGCAAAACAAAACCATGTACATCGAGGGACAGATTTACCAGCAAGGATGGGATGGAATGCTTGTGAAATATTGTCACTGGAAAAGAGACAGGGAACGGGCTGGCTGCTCCCCCACCCCATGTCCTGACTCTGTGTGTGCTGCTGCAGGCTGCAAGCTGTGCTGTGGAAGTCACTGATGACTGCACAGCAGGCTTTGGGTTGACATTGTGCACTTGATTCTCAGAAGGAAGTGGAACCTCATCCTTGCTCCAGACCCAGCATAAATTGCTTTCCTCCCTAGACTGGTTATTTTTAACAGTAATTCCTGCCCTTGTGTATCCCTGCAGCCTTTGGATGTTCTTAGGGAGGGTGATTAAAGGGTGTGGGATGCTTGAAGAGGATCATTTCTTTTATTCCATTTTATTTAGGTGTGGTATTTATAAAGGCTCTAAAATTGGCAGTGAGAGAAAGGCAAATAGTCTTCTAAAGTGGAGACTGCCCCAAAACAGACAGCTGCAGCCCAGCCTCTCCTTATTTTCCCTGCCAGTTCTCTCAAGCATGACCTGGTTTGAGGACCACCTTCAATGAGATCAAAAAGTGATTTTCCCTGTGCTTGCTCCACATGCCACTTCACTTTCACACCACCTGTCAGCTGGGTGGCAAGTGAGACAGGAATGAATTCTGGCCTCCCTTACTTGAACCATGAACAGCTCCAGGAAAGACAATGATGCTGTGAAGGTGAAATTAGATCCAAGAGAGCCTACAAAGCCCTGGAGATGTGTTCTTGCCATAGTGAGCTGAGGCATCCAGGAAAATGGTTACTCAAAACTCAAAAAACTCTCTCATCAACTGGGCATCAACTGCTTTGGCTTTTACTCCACTCAACGCTGAACATCAGCCTTGAATTGTATTTCCTTCTAGCAGCTCTCATGCAGTAACTTAATACCTGTACTTTTTCAGGGAACAATGTGTAGCTGCTGTCATGTCTCACAGACCTTAAGAGTCTCTGCACCATGGCAGATGGAGTCCTTGAGGAAACAGCCTGCAGGAAAGATGAGACATCTAAACCACAGCCCAGTGAGACTGTGTACTTACAGGAAAATGAGGTTTTAATGGTTTATTGAACACATTCAAACCAAAACATAGTTTCTGATTTTGTTCCAAATAGCCCTGAAGAAAATATTTCTTCTTGACTTTTCTTAATTGAAAAAAAAAATTAAAAAGGGTATATTTATTTCTCTATTGTGAAAGGAAAGAAGGTTTAAAATCAGGATGTTTTTCTCTCTGAAAATTTCAATTTTGTGAAAACTGCCTCTTGACTGGGCAGCCTTCCCACAGGGAATCCCCAGCCAGCCCCAGTGCTAATATCAGTGCACAGTGTTTGGAGCTGATCCAAAGGTCATTCACGCCCTTAGACATTTTTATCGTGGACTTGAATAAACTTTGGACCAGGCTCTTTTGGCAAGAGCATGCACAGTCTGGAAACCTAAAAATAAATCCTGATTTGGAGCCATCCTCAGCTTTTGAGTCACCATGATGGTACACATTGGTATGAGATTGTTAGAGAGGTGATGAGGTGATTTGGTCTCCTCTCTGGCCAGAGAATCTTTAGCTGCTTGTTGAAATAAACAGTGGAGAAGATGATGTTCCACAAGCTCAATGTTAAGACCTCTTGATGAAGAATTTTCCTGTGAAGCATCAACCCCGGAAGGCTGAGATGGAAGGTGCTGTCTCAAGGGATGATCTGGTTTTCTCTTCAAGAAGATTTTCAGCAGTAATAGCTCCTGGAATATGTAAGACTGTCATCCTCAGTCCTAGGAAATGGAGAGGACCCTCCATGATGCAGTTTGTCTGCAGCAGTAGTTTGGGGGCCAGCAAAAGGGGCTGTGCCAGAAGGGAAGAAAAACTGGTCAAAGCACAGAATTTACACTTTTCCTTTTTTGTCTCCTGTCCATGATCTGAGACATTCACAGGAGTCCAGGACGAGAAGAAAATCCCAAGTAACAATGAATATCTATCCTGCCATTCACCACTGCTGTGCACCATGAAGGGATTGCTCTGAAGTTCTGACAGGGAATCTCATGCTGTAATTACCATGCCTAAACCCTTTCACCTGGAGTTCACTCCAGCTCTCTAAAATGACCTGAGTCTGTGTGTGGAAAAAGCAAAGTGTTTCCAGCATCTCAATTTTATTTCTACTGGCACAAGGGTTTCCATGTGTCTGGTGCTGCTTGCTGGCTGATGAACCCTTGGCTGAACACAAGTAACTGGTCACTTGCTGAGGCTGTGTAAGTGGCCACACGAGGGAGAGAGATGGAGAAAGTTACAGGCCCTTAGTCAGGTGGCAGTGGGCTTGCTTGTGCCTACAGACTGTGGTGGATGTCAGTCCTAATTCCCACAGTGCTAGTGACCACATCCTGCTGGAGCAATGCTGGTGGCTGTGGTCAAGCCACCAGGAAGTCCATCCAAAGGGCTCCATCTTCAACTAGTTGGTCTATTTCCTTCCTATTTATCTTTTTCTATCCTGGGTATCAAATACTTTGTTTTCTGTCCACAAGAAGAAGGAGTTTGCCCTCTCCATGAGGTTTATGGCCACCACTCTTTTCTTTGGGTGCTTCATAACTGGTTGCTGTGATTCTCCTGATTCCCAAGACAGATCTCTCAGCTGCAGCAGTCCTTGTTTAAGGGTGTTAAGTTGTGGCAGTAATAATGCTGGCCCTGGTGAGAATACAAATGTGTAGTTTGTTGATCCTGGCCTGCAGAGCAGTACTACTGCCTGGCAACTACACCACAAGAGCTGGCAGGCAGACTGATTTCCAGCTCACTGCTCTGAAAGGGGAAAGGGTGTTTTCAAATTTCTTTTTTCCCTCCATCTCCTCCAAGTCAGAGCCTGCCAGGAAGCTTTGGAGAGAAGCTCTGGTGCCTCCCAAGCTGAGTATGATGGCCAGGCTGTTCCTCTAGGACTTGGAGACCCAGCAAAATCTCCTGGGTCTCAGCAGTGGGTGGGGGTCACTGGAGGTTGAATGTGAGCAGCATGTGGGGCAGTGAAGAACTGCAGTCCTGAAAAAACATATTTTTGAGGGATTCCTGCCAGAAGTGGGGGTCACTTCTAATCATCCACTGGTCAAACAGGCTAATTTTAAAAGCTGGAGCAGGGTTTCAGATCCTTGTGTGGTCACACATTGCAGTGAGCATCACACACCGGTTCCCTGTCACTGAAGAACTGAAGCACACACCAAAAATGCTTGGCTGAATCAGGTTGTGCTTAGATATGCTGTGGCTTACAGTGAATTACCCCTGCTGAAGGACATCAGGGACACATTCTGGACTGGCAGCATGTCACACCTCCACTCTGCATTGCCCAAGGATGTGAAGTACTTCAGTAACTCAAGAGGGAAAGATGCATATTTCTGTCCTGTACCACTGATATTTTCTGAATCTACAGTGTTCAATCCAGGTCCTTTGGTACTTCTAGGGACACATTACATTCAGTTATTCTAAGGTTGTATTTTGCAACTGGTTTAATGGGACTGTCCTGTCTGACAGGGAGAGGCAGAAACTGTGGAGAAATGAAGCTTATGAGCCATGTCTGTTGCTGGCACTTTGCCACCACCCCCTCTACAAGGAAACCTGCAAACCCTTTTTGGGAGCAGCATATTGTCCTAAGCACAATCATGTGTTTGCTGCATAGAGAACTTAAATGTGTGTGTGTGTGTTAGGGGCCAGCTTTTCATTGAAGCCTGGTCCCATTTCAGTGTCTCTTCCTGAATGTTCAGTGTTCAGAGGCCTGAGCTAAATACGAGTGAAAATGTGCCAGGGGGCTTTGCTGGGGTTGCTCACCAGCAGAACAACGATGCCAGCAGATTAGGGAGAAAACAAGCACCACCTGATTTGTTCTTGCCCAAGGGCAACACTCATTTATGCATCCTGTTTGCTCCATATAACATGGGTACACATATGTTACCATGTCCAACCAGCTACAAAAATGCTGTGCATCCTCGGGGGCCCTTGGGAGGCCTGGCATTATCTTTTCTCAGGATGTCAGTGAAATGTTTACATCCATGGGGTGCAGTGTGAATTAGACATTGCTCCATAGCAGAGCTTTCTGATTTAGTTCAGGATGGGGCAAATGCAGAGCACAGAACAGCCCTCATGCAGATGTTCCTGTGTCTCTTTGAAATGTTTAAATTATCTGCAGGGCTCCATAAGGAAGCAAAGCCCCAGTGCAGTGGAGTTAAGGTGACACTGCTTCCTATCTGCCCAAGGATCTTTTCTTAAATGCACTTTTATGGTCTGTGAATTTTAGGTAGCTTTTTCTCTAATTTACCTTTGACAGCAATATCATCTCCAGCCTTGACAGTTTGCAGTATCAAATTTACCTGTCAGCATTTGTGAAGATGATAAAGTCTCCACACCTTAGAGCTGCACCATGGTTTGGAACTGGCTTGGGATGGGATGTCAGTTTGCACAAAATACACCCCGGAACACTTTACCTTCCCTCAGGGAACAGCCACCTCAGGGGAATAGGCAGCAGCTGTTCTATGCTTCACATAAGTAGTGATAGAAGAATGTATGGCTGAAACTTCAGAGGGGGATCTATTGGCAAAAGTTAATTGCCCTGTTTGAAAATGGTTTAAACAGAAAGGTTAATGCCCAGGGATTGTACAGGCACAACCTTGATTTTCCATCTGCTTTGATGTCTCAATTAGTAGAACTCAGGGCAAGGGCGAGGGGGTAACAAACTCCTTGGATGTTTCCAGCTTTTTTGGGGGGGAAGAAAAAAAAGATTTATTTATTAGAATAGGCAGGTCACAATTTAACTGAAAGATTGTTAAAGGAATTCAGAGCCTGTGGGATTTATGACAAGGTGATGAAAGAGGAACTCTGATAGTTACTCAATAAGCTTCTTTTTCCAAGAACATAAAGTTTAAAAAAATAAATTTTAAAATGAGGATTTTTTTTTTTTTATGAATGGGTTCTTGTGGTGTGCAGGCTGCTAACACTATCAACATTGTTTCTGGGGAACTCCAGGCATCTAATCAATCTTCATTCTGTAAGAAAACGTTCCAAATTATACGAAAACCACATGGCTTCTCCTGTTTGTAGGGAAAAACCTGACCTGACCCCATCTGTGCTCCAGAATGGCTGAGTTCCCACCTTAGGACTAATTCCAACAAGAGCTGTGATCCATTTTCATTGTCCTAGCACACAGAAGAAGGCACTTTGTGTAAAGATGCAGCTTTCCTTAGAATCCCAATGAGGGAGCTGTTCCAAGGAACATGTGGAGGGAAAGATGGGACTGGGATCATTACTGTGGACACCAGGCCATTCCAGGCTATTCATGTCCTTCTAATTATCTGCCTGAGTTCCCCTGCAGACTCCTTGCTGCCAGATCATTCCCACAGGTTCCATTCCTGTCTGCTCCTGCTCCAGCACTGCCCAGCCTTCACTGGCTGCTTCCACAGGGCACATTACAGTCCTGCTTTAAACTGCACATGGGTTGGGAGCAGCCACCTTTAGACAGCATCTCTTCCAACACTGAGGGCAGTTCCTTTCTACACACACACATCATGCCATAGACATGGTGGGTGTAAAATAAATGTTTGTTAGATGCATATCTATAAAAACGCAAGTTCACAAAGCAAAATGTTTTTTTCCTTTGAAGAAAAGGGATTTCTGCTGAAAAGATGTTACCCTTTGAAGACTAGTAGTTTGTCTCATAAATTACCCTGCTGTTTCCTCAAGATCTTGTGCAGAAGTGTTGTGCATTCTGGTCACTAGTTTCAAAGCCTAGTCCAAACCAAAGCAAACTGCAACAAGTCATCCCTGGAAAGAGACTGCACTGTGGATACCTCTGGGGATCAACAGAAAGAAGCTACCAACAAGACAAATGAGTTGGCTCTTTAGACACAGGCTGCAGTGACAGGGCTTGCTTCCAGTTTCCAAACTTCAGCAAACGTAGGAGACAATTTCAGATTCTACATCTTGGGTTATAAGAACAGGGAGCAATGTGTAAATAAAATTAAAGGCAACATGATGTAACAGAGCACTAGACTGGGATCCCTCAGGTGGCTGGACTAGCTGGGTCATAGTAGCCTCTCTGTGCTTCATTTTTCCACAGGACATCCTGCTCTT